CGCTCTGAGTTCCTTGGAGATCGTAGAGGGCATGCGCCAGATGAATAAATTCAAAGCAGCAAAACATGCGGAAATGATCCATGGTTTCAGCGGATCATTAAAAATAATTACAATTAATTAACTTTTTTTGGATTTTTTCATTAATTTCATAAATTTTTATGGGATTTCGGGGTAACCATCAACATATACCGAACCAAAAACCGTGACCACGAAACCGTGAAACGAACCAAACCGTGGATTTTGTGAACCGTTCCACCCCTAGTCTGCATACATATGGGTTCACAAAAACTGATGTATGAAGTTACAGTTTAAGCAAGCTCTTTTGCGTCAGAAAATAAGGATTAAACAAGATTCTACTATGAAGTCAAAAGTGGCATGTGACACCTGCTTTGACTCAACAATAGATTTCTAAAAGAGCCAATGAATCGGAAGTTTTTAAGTTTTTGCCTCTAGGTTGTTTTTTTTACTCTGGTGGAACACTCAATAAGTTGTCCATATTTTGAGGGTTCATTGAATATTGTGTTGTTAAAATGTCAATGAACAATGATGAGAGTCTATGTGTTATTTTTATTTTATTTTTATTTTTTTGGTACTTTGTTGACAGTTCAGTCAGATGTTCACATTAATCCACACTTGGATATAACCTAACGGAATATCTTCAGAACGGCTTCAAATGACACAAAACTAATATGGGTGAGTAGAACATGAAAATCGAGGGGCCAATGTAAAAAAAAAACGATGTTCCCCTTTAAGGCTCTCAGCTCATCGTGGTCTTTAAAACATTCAGGGGAAATTTTTCTTTGTCTATAATAGGGACGTCTGAGTTTAAATTTAGAACCTTCATTAGATTTTCATCAGCAGTGAGAGTTTAAATCAGTTGGAACAAAATGGCTTCCATCCAAGCCTTTAAACTAAATGGAAAATGATTTTCTCAGGACTTAAACACACAGAGACTAAAACTGACAAATATGGAGTCCCATCTGGTAAAATGTGACTCCATATTTGTTAGCTGGTTGATAATAAAAATCCAGCGACAGAGAGGCAGAAGAGGAAAGATGGCAGGCTTCCTCCACTGTAGTGAGTGTCAAACTGTCCACAGACTGTCCTATAAACTATAGACGTTCTCTGAAAATGTTTCCATCAGGGTGAGAGGTGCTAGAGGTCCAGCATTGTCTGTGTGAGGCTGGGACACAGTGGCAGCAAAATAGGCTCGCTAATTAGCACCTGGGCCTGATGAAGTCCATGCTCTGAGTACCGAGGCCTGGCCAATCAGGAGAGAGGAATAAAGGAGGGAGACGTCCTCCACCTCCTAGACTGGATGTTTAAAAAAAACAAACTCCTGAAATATCTGAGCTGAAGCAGCTAGAACAGATGTTGGAGCTTTTTCCTTGATTCATGGAAACAATAAAGAGAATCCCAGTGAAAATCTGGGGAATGTTGTTGTTCCATTTCAGTCTGAGACGTTCTTGTCATATTTGTTCTCGTCAGAAACCTAAAAAGGAAAACAAGAAGAAACCGACAGCTCCCTGATGCTCCAGTCGGTCCTGAGAGAGATTTAAACCTTCACTGCTGCTCCTGGGTCAGCTTATTGTTCCACCATTTACTGCCAACACTTGTCTTCCAACCACAAGCACAGAAAGAGAAACCACTAAATTCATTTCAGGACCTCTGCAGCTTGTTCTGAAGCTCTTTGGAAAGCTTAGCTGCAGCTGCGGCTCCAGGTCACTGGTACAGACTCCATGGTCTCTGCAGCTTGAAAGGAGGGAGGTGCAGGAGGTGAAAGAATTTAACACTGCTAGCCCCAGGAATCCCTGAAAGCCCCCTCCTCTCTTCAGGTTTGTGTATTCAACCCACCAAGCGAACTGTCAGTTCTGTAATGCAAACAACCTCTGATGTAACCAACATCCTGTACATGAGATTCAGGAAAGGCTGAAGCAAACAGTATCAAAAAAACAAAAGCATGTACCAAGCATTTTCCCAGCCCTCATTACCTGAAACCATCTTACTTTTTTTGCAGTAATATTGTCATGATCCGGCCTGTTTGCTCTCCCTTAATTAGTCATTCCTTTCACCTGTCGTTTTCCCTCCCTGCCTCAATTATAATTTATTCCTCTCACCTGTTTCCTTTGGTTTATATTCAGTTCAGCCTGAGCATTCAGGGCCAGATCATTAACTGTCTTTCTGTTAGCCTGTCTGTTCAGTTTTAGTTC